CGATGGCAATATGGAGGGACGAGTGGGTCCTCTGACAGATCGGCGTACGCATATATGCCACTGTATATTCCCGATCTAATACCAGCTGGACCTTGAGCTCGTAGCTCAACTGTCAGGACGTTCATCCTGACGGGAGAGATCGCGAGTTCAAATCTCGGTGTGGCAGCAATTTCAGTGGCCACACTGGGGTTAAGTATCGCTAGCCAATGACGCCTAACAAGACAGAAAAGGCCTTCCTAGTGTCCCCTGTCTTTGCTGGTAATTTCCTTCTGCCTATATATATTAATATGCGCATGTGTTGACCTTTACGTTCGTGTAAGTTTATATATACACATAAGGCATATATCAATAACCGTACAGTTTGAATTTTACAAAGATGCCTGTGATTTTTATGTATCTTATAAAGGGCAGCTGCTGCCATATAATAGGTAAGGGGTGTGAATATTAGCATGTATAAATTCTGGATAGTGAATATTTATATTCCTTTCGGGAGCCCAATAGAAATGTCCGTTTTATTCCTAAAGTTATGGAGCCCAAAAAGTTTTCAGTTGAACTAAATTCCAAATTTATAAAACGTACAGTAGAATTACATGTATTCCTAAATTATTCGGAAACTTTAAATAAAAGCGCAAGTTATTAGAGGGCGAAATAGTCTTTAGCATATGCGCATTATTAAACATTATCACTTTTGTTCTCTCTGCAGCCCCATTATCATCCAAAAAGAGAAGTAAGTTCGAAACAATTCAATGCCAGTTATGAAATAATATTTTACATTATGAGCAATATCCAGTTTTTCGGATTCATATTATCCTAGAAAGCGCATTTAGTGACTATACAGATATCCAAGTGAAATTCGTACGTCTTGATTCTGCCATAGGTATTGTCATAAAAAGCTTGCGAACCATAAGGGTAATAGTTTAAGTAGAAGTCCGTTTTGGTATAAACAAAAGAAATAAGCCTCCTTAATATTGCTATAAGAAACGGCTTTGCTAATTTTTGATGCAGTGGTTGACATTTCAAATAAATTCTTTAGTCAGTCCTTAACTCGTGCAACTTAGTGCATTTGAGCGCAAAACTAATTATGGTCCGTTTATGAACTTGAAGTTAAAGCTACTATATTATACTTAATTATCGTAAAAGTAACGAATTATGCAGTAAAGATATTACGGAACTGAAATACATCAGCTTGTATCATATTTGGTAAGCAGTTAAAGTCAAAGTACGAGCGACTATATCATCAATGGTCTGTCGATCATCACCCGAATATGTCTTACTATATTAACACGAACGTGACGAAGGCTATATCATTAATATAAAAATCGATATTTTCAGTTCTTGTTGACACAGATTACTACAGCTAAGCAATGTTAATACTCGCCAAATTAATACCAAAGGCAATTACTTATGATAAAGGGAATACCCCTTAGCTGGACTTACGGTAAAAACAGTTTCTTTCTTTACAGTGACTCCTCTCCTCGAGGAACCGGAGCTGTTTGATCATGGTATACATACTTATACTTTCAACCGCAAGTGTTTTTTTATTAATTGATAATAAACTTTAATTAGTAAGTGAACCAATATCAGGCACCAAATTTGTTTAACCGACAATCTTAGTCCTTTTGTGATTGAGAACACGGCATTTAGGCACAATTAATATCTGGCTCAGTTGACTTTTACGCCATAATACCCTGCTCTACGTTGCGAGGGCCGA